ACCTAGGGTCCAGGCAATCAGGGTTCGATTCCCAGTCAGGGCACATGCCCGGGTTGCGGGCTCGATCCCCAGCTGGGGGCATGCAGGAGGCAGCCGATCAATGACTCTCTCTCATCATTGATGTTTGTCTCTCTCTCTCCCTCTCCTTTCCTCTCTCTGAAATCAATAAAGATATATTTTAAAAAAATACAGGAGCCCAGCCGGGCGTGGCTCAGCGGTTGAGCATCGACCTAGGATCCAGGAGATCGGGGTTCGATTCCCGGTCAGGGCACATGCCCAGGTTGTGGGCTGCAGCTGATCAATGACTCTCTCATCATTGATGTTTCTATCTCTCTCTCTTCCTCGCCCTTCCTCTCGCTGAAATCAATAAAGATATTTAAAAAAAAAAAAAAATACAGGAGAGGAACAGAAAAAAGGAACAGAAAAATATTAGAGGAAATAACCAATTAAATAATGATAGAAAATGGGACTAGAAAAAAAAAACAAATGATAAAAGATAAAAAAGGAACCTTTGAATAAAGGTTAAAAATAGTATATATAAAGTAAAATAGAAATTTTAATAAGAAATTATGTAATGAAGAAAAAAAAATTAAAACTATATAACCTAAAAAACCCTCACCTTTTCAGATAACAGTTTATATGGCTTCATTAATGGTTGAACTTTAGACGAGTCTGAGTAGGTTTCTCCATAAATCCATCCATTGGCTAACTAAAAAAACAAAAGAAACATCAATTGTTCTGCATGTATTAATTTTAGCGAGTGTAAGTGCATATGTGTTTACATGTGTGCTTGATGAAATCCATCTAAATTGAACCACAATAAGGATTAAGGTCTGAATTTTATCGAGCATAAGTTAATACAAAAATCTCCATCCTGACCAACTTTATTTTGAGGAATCACCTAGAATGAATCTTTTCATCCTGAGATTAAAGTGCCCAGTCTTCCTTAACAGACCAGGGCCTCTGGTTGGGTCGGTCAGCACTCCCGAGGCAGCAGCCCCGTGGCGCGGCCCGTGATATCCATGGGACACGTGCTGGGGCACCCACTGCGGTGGGCGCCTGTGCGACACTCTGAGGGAGGGAAGCTGGAGCAGCGTGTCATTTGGAAGCGCCCTGAATAATGTACTTGTGCTGCCCACTCCTACACCCAACACCTCTCAAAACCTTTGTTCCCCACGATTCTGCCGTACAGCTCTGTGCACATCCTGCCACATCCGCCCAGGGCATCTGGGTGACCGTGGGCATGGCCCAGCACTGCCTCCTGTAAACTTTGTCTCCATCACGTCCTGCACCAACACACTACCTAGAGGAGTATATAAAACACTTAGTTCTCACTGAGTTGCCTAGTAGACCAACTAAATTACTCAGTAAAGAGCCACATCTATAAAACAAAAGGGGGGTGTGAGAGGGAGGGCCGGTGGGCCAGGGCCAGGGCGGGAGAGGAACCTGAGAGCCGCGGCCGCAGCCTCGTTGCTGTGTAACAAACACCCCGTGCAGTCTGCTGCTTGGCCTCCACCGCCCCACATCGCTACACCCTTACTTCAGATTCGCATCCTCTCAGCTCAGTTTCCCTATAGAACCTATTTTAATCATCTTCTTTCATGATTAACTAAGCGGAAATTAAATGTGACTCCTCGGGCACAGTATTCCCTTAAAAATCTCCTACGGCACAGGACTCAGGCGCTGGACCGAGACTGCTCCCGTCACCTCATTCAGGCAGGGTTTTGTTTTGTTTCTTTACAACACAAAGAAAATGGATCATCCTGCCTTGTAATCTACTTTTAGTGACATTAATATCTACTTGGTAATTAGAAATACCATCACTAAATTCTGATTAATAAATTTCAAAGTTTATCTAATATAAAATTACACATAAAGCTCAAGTTTCTTTAAAAGATTTCTTGACCCAGAATCACTACTTTTCCTGAAGCCCCTGATGGCTATTACCTTTTATTCCCATAAACAATGTGAGCTTACAAATGATATCTGTGATCTAACAGATTTTTAGAATTTAAAGCTGTGCTTTTTACAAACACAAAAGTCCTTATTCATATGTGTATCACCTGTGTGTCAGTGGCAGAGCTGGTGAAATGTTGTACTTGCAGTCATAATTACATGTTCTTCCCAGCCTAGGCAAGCTCTCACTCTAACGGAGAGAACCGCCATGATCAGAACTATCGGCAGCGATGCCGGCGCACACGAGGTGCTGCTCGGAGAGCGGCCTCACAGTTACCTTGTCCATGGACCATCTGTCATGAGAGTGCTCAGCGTATTTATTTATGAAGTATTCCAGCTTCTCAGGAATTATAATACTGTGGGAGAAACAGAGAGCAAGACTTGATTTTCACAGAATCGCAGGGACTCACAAGAATAATTTACTCACAACTCTGACTGCTTAAATCCCACTCAATGCACAGCTGTTAAAAAATTGTTTTGGCCCTGGCCAGTGTGGTTCAGTGGTCGAGCATCATACCGTGCAGCCAGAGGTCCCTGGTTCAATTCCCAGTCAGGGCACATGCCCGGGGTTGCAGGCTCGATCCCCAGTAGGGGGCGTGCAGGAGGCAGCTGATTGATGTTTCTCATCAATGTTTCTCTCTCCCTCTCCCTTCTTCTCTAAAACCAATAAAAGCATATGTTTTTTAAATGTAGTACTTTTCCATATGATAGGAACAATATAAGAAAAGTCTATCTGCTTATCATATATTGATTCACACATTATGTCTTAACATGAGTTATATATAAAATTACACACAGTATAAATAAAAGTAATTAAAATATATTCAAAGATGGGGACAACACATCATACCAAAGTTTTTTTAAAAACCTGAGTGGATACAGTTGATGAAACAAGCTTAAAGATGCACATCTCCTACATTCATTATTTTAGTTAATTCTCTCCTGTGACATCTCTACATGTGTAAAAGACACTGAAATCTGACCTGCTACATTATTAAAGTGTACTAGAGTTTTACATTAATTTCACGCAACTAGTGATGTTAGTAATTTTAATTACCAATAGTCTATATATACCCTTCTAACCGTTACTAATATAGACTAGAGGGAAAGGTAACTAACACATTCTTTATGGTTTTATAACATTCTTGATTCCTTCCATGTTTAAATAAATATTTATCTCTTGACCAGCTGTTGAGTGCCTGCGATTGATCACCAAGCCTGATGGTAATTGTGATACCTGTGAATATCAAATATATCTATGAATGAAAATAAAATATATCTATAATTTCATTCTTTAGCAAACACGGCTATTAACCTTGAGAATAGACTTCTAACTACACCTGGTGTAATAAGACGGCTACTGTCCCTTCCCAGCACTCTTATCATCAGTGACTGAATTACACACCTACTTCAGACACAACACATAAAAATCACAGGGACAGAAATTATTGAGATTACTGTTTAAACCTAACCTATTAAGAAGTCCCCAAAGGGCAAACCTAGGTAAATTAATACCCAGGCCCAACACTTACTAGTTAATTAGATTTAATCAAAACTATGACATTGTTCCATGTTATTTTTAAATTCTAGATTCTACCATTTGTCAGCAAACCACAAACTTACCATGTAGGGATGTGAACGTGTGGTTTGGCTTACTTACTTTGGAAGAAATACAAAGGGTCAGTCACATAAGCCCAACACTGGGGTGGACCTCAGGTGGACCTCAGTCCTCACAGGACTGCCATCCAGTACCAAACACCTACATTTAAGGTGTAATCAAGCTGACGCTCACCACTAGGGCTGAAGTGACCTGGGGACAGGGCTGAGCCAGTGGGGGCTGTGGAAGGCTGAATGTTACACTCCAAAGCAAGTTCACTGGCCGGGGAGTGACTATCGAGAGACAACCTTGTTAATACTGATTTTGCTGAGCGACCACAGAACTGGTACAATAATGTGGCCTGAAGAGGCAGCTTTCCTTGCAATAGGAGACCTGGGTCTTACTTAAAAACAGTAGCACCTGAGACTCCAAACACCAGAGGTCCCCAAACATCCTATCTGTTGAACAATTTATGCAACTGAGCCCACGGAAGAAGTTCCATCTCGCTAAGTGGCATTTCACCTGCAGTCACAGTGGCCACCCTGCATTCTAACTGCACACTCACCTCCCCACAAACGTCCTCATTTCATAATCCCTCAACCTCACGCTGTGCGCCACCCGCTGAACATCAGCAGCAACCTCAGGCCAGCTGCAGTGAAGTGACACAAAGCGACAGCTCGCAGGACGGTGCTGGGCTCCTGCAGGGAGCACCCAAAGGCACGTCCGCCACACAGAGGTTGCTGCCATTTCAATAAATATTTTGGGTAAATTTTCAACTAACGCTATAACCAATATGCCTTGTTGATTCTCATTACTACAGATTTACCTACCGTGTGGCTATAAACGGAGACCCCGATTCTGCTAAGAGTGATCTAGAAGGCCCATCTTATCTACTTCTGATACTCGTAAAATCGCTATTGTTGCCATCGTTTCATGAAGAAAAGGGACCCAAGTAAAAGGGAGCACGGAGGAGAGCAAGTTCTCGTTAGTACCTTAGTCAATTTCAGACTTCACACAGCATTTACAACAAAAATGATGCAGTAGAAAGAGTCCATACTTTGAGGTTTCAACGGGCTGTGGGTTGAAGTTCCCCTCGGAATCCATGGACGACTGCTTCTCCATCAAACTCACATAGTTGGACTCCATGTAGTCCGGGGGCAGGGCTCCGGCCACGGCGCTCAGGCACGGCAGGGCCAGCTTGAAGAGCTCCTGCTCGTACTTCTGCGAGGACATGGAGAACCAAAGACAAACAGACAAAAAACCCCAGTATGTTAGTATTTAGCCAAAGCTGTCCTCACGATCCCTGTGGAGGGTGAGATGCTCTAGGAGAAACCTGAACCCCGGCTGACTAGGTTCACCAGCAGATTCTGCCCCAGAAAATGGACCATTCAGCCCGAAATCCCACAGAACACGAGGAGCTGACGGCGACTCGCTGCAGCTGCAGACTAAGAAGAAATCTCTGCTTCTCTAAAATGTGTCCTTCGATATTTGAATGACGTATCCTTGAATGTTCTGAGTGTATGACAGAGTGGGTAACACGTCTTTACAACATGAACACAATTTAGGCAACGAGGACTGCACTTCTCAGTTAGTACAGGTTACTGGCATCACGCTGTACAGGCCACAGGTGAAGACGCCTGCAGGAGGGCATGCTGGGGGAAGACGCTCTGAGCTGCACTGCAGTACAGAGGTATACAAAATACAGCTCCGAGCCGGGAAGAAAAGACGGGAAATATGCAAAATCAAAATTTCTGGGAAGAGGTATTTGTATATTAATTACCTGATTCATTAAATTTGTATTTAGAGATTTTTTTAAAAAATAAAAATAACAATAACTTAAAAGTTATCTCACTTTAACCATTCAATTTTAAATTGATATTCGTAATTCTTCTAAAAATACTTTCTACATATTATTTTAAAAGGACCCTATTTACCAAAGACAATTCAGTGAGAAAAAGTATTAAGAAGTCGCTAGTAAATGAAGTCACAGGTGAACTTCCCCCCATTAGGAAGCAAACTCTGGCTACAGTGCTCCAATCACCTAATAGAGTCCATCTGGGAAGTCAAATGTTTTGACGAATAATTTAAGCACAATCATACACAGCATGATGCTCCGGTTTTCTCTCATGTGCGACCATCCAGTCTTCTGAAAGTAAATGAATTATTCCCTATAAATATGGAAGTCTCTGGAAATGTCTGAGTGGAGGCTCTTGAATCTCCCAGCAGCAATCAGGAGGCAAATGAACCAATGGCATAATATTACTCTGGGAAACTTAATATATTTTCATACTTGACATGATTTCTTCAGGTTTTGTAACATTGGGGAGGTGACTAGGGGGAGTTTAAGCCCAAATAAGTCTTAATACACCAGAAACATATCAACCCATATGCATAATGTCCTAAAACTTTTAGCCATTTTCAATTCAGAAAGTGTTCTGATCACAAAAAAAACGTGTTACCAGAGCAATTATGAAAAGCCAATATGAACTTCATTCTTAACATTTGCTATAAATCCAGAAAAGAGATAAAACCATGTAAGTCTGTGTTAATTATTCTAGCACACAAATAAGCTCACAAAATATCAAATTACCTTTTGAGACAGGGCATCAAAAATGCCCCAGAACAGTTTTCTTGATAAATGAAGTTCTTCTTCTGAGGCAGCTCCAAAGCTGCCCCACCCTCCGGGCAGACAGTAGTACTTCCAGCACCTTTCGTAATGATTTGTCAGCAGCTACGGGAAAACAATCACAAACGCAATGAGGTAAAGACAGCTTTATACTTTTCCGTTTCTTCCCTCAGGCTGGGTTCAAAGCCGCTCCTCACCCCTGGAGGCTGCTAGTGTTGGAGGCCGGCCTGCACCGGGCTTTCCAGCCTGAGAATTCCTTGGACCATCTTTCTCTTGCCCATTTGTTCCACTGATTTCCATTTCCACTGACTTACAGCGAATCAACCTTAAAACTTCTATGGTCTTTTATTACTTGTTTATTTTAAGTTGATATACACATATCTATACTTACATGCCCATTTCAATAACTGAAAGAAATTTTCCAACATCAAACATCAAACATCAAACATGATGTGTCTAAGAGATGTACAGTCTGTAACAAGAAGTCAGACTGATACTGTTGTGATTAACCTAGTTATTAATAACAGGAAAGGAGCAAAGGGAAGGCCATTTGGGCATGTCATTTGGGCAGCTTCTCCAGGAAGCTGCAGTTTAACACTCTCCAGGAAGCCACGGTCTGTTCCCCACGGATTGCTGGGGGAAGGGGCTGGACAGGGAGAACAGACACCTGCCCAGTAAAGTCTGGGTGACAGGCAAGGTATCTGCCAATCTGTCACACCTGGAAACAGGCCATTGGTCAGAGGGCCCGGCCACTGCAAGCACAGGAAGATGGGAGATATTTAATCCCCTGAACAAAGAAATTCACTCTCTTGGCTTCAGGCTCTCCTGCTCCCCTGATTTACCCACATGGCCCACAGCCATGTGCACCCCACACCATGGACTAATGGGCTGCGACTAGCCTGATGCTAAAGCAGGCCCCATTCCAACATGGAACAGAAACTCTGGACACTGGCTTTGCTTCCAGCTCTGCTGAGTCCCCGGCTGCGCATCTTCCAGGACTGGATTAGGGAAACAGGGCTTTGGAAACCCAGAGATGTAAATCCATGCAAATAAAAATCACTCATCCTCCCATGCAAGTCTCAGAATATTTTTTTTCTCAAGATACCATAAGGACTCCACCCCCAGCACTCAGTGGGGAAAGGGATCCCCTACTTCCACCAAGAGGACCCAGTCATCCAGTAAGCATGGACGTCTCCTATCCTTACCTTGAGAGGCATCTTTGCATGTTCATTTAATAACGGGACGTCAAACACTAATCTTCTGAGTAAGTGCTGCATCATAGAAGGCCTCAGTTGGCTGGTGGAACAAGGCTGATTTTAATAATGGAGTTAACATGTCTGAACTAAGCAGATAATTCATTAGACTAAATTAAATATGCCACTAACTAGTACCTATACCTCTCTTCAGGGGATCTTAATTTTACGTGCTCCCAACCCGAAGAGTAACCAACAGTTACCCAGTGTTATAAGAGGTTCCACTTGTACCTTGTCTCCACCCCGATCTGAAGACTGATCCCTGATTCCTACAGGAGACGCTTCTCCTCCGCTCTCTCCCTTGCTAACACACACAACTGCTGACCCCACGGTCTCCATTAACTTAATAAACACGTCTTCCCTCACTCCCAGGGGCAGAAGGGTCTCCAGTGACCAGGCTGGAAGCAGAAAGCCCGGGGGGGG